GCGTGTAAGAACTGTCCAAATGTTTTATATTTCCGAAGGCTTTCGGCTATACCTTTAGCAATTGTCAAGGATGATTCGATTTTTCAGCTTGAGTGTGTGCGTTCTGTGTATGTCTTAGTGTGTGGTAGGGATGTTCTTAATTTCCGAATACGGTTAGCACATTATGGTTGTGTTCGTAGTTAATATTGTTAAGAGTTGCCTTTTTCTTTTTATTATTAAAGCTTCCATTATTTTTAGTCTTTTTTTTTTGCAGGTGGATGCAGTTAATATATTTGTGTTTTCTACTAGTATGTTCCTAATGGAGTCTGGTAAATTTGTGTGTGTGTTTAAATGGGTTCTAATGGAGCTGTGATCAGATAGGTGTAACATAAGACGTCTGGATAAGCATGTGGTTGTGTAACCGATGTAATTATTTATGAGTCTGGTTTGATCAGGAACACAGTTCCTTAACACACCAGCTAAGTCAAAATTACAAAGAACGAACATTATCTATGAGTTCAAATGTCCCATATTAAGCTTATCAGACGTTATGAAAAGAATTTACATAAAATGAATAGACAACACTTGTCTATATTATTTAATGAAACATATATATATATATATATATATATATATATAAAAGAAAAACAGACCACTTTAAGGTACCATTATAATAATTTATTTCACCAGAAGGACGCTGGATAATCAGATAGCACTTAATTCATTTCAGTGGAATGTTGAAATCAAATGTTTTATAACCTGAACCGTCAGTGACCCAACGGGTCACGGGTAGTCTAGTAGTAAAATAAAAATCAATAATTATATATGATCATGTCAGTTAATCACTATCTGTGTGTAAATGCGTGTACATTTGTGTTGGCAAACGCATTTCACTGTAAATTTACAACATCCATAACTTAATTCTATTCTAATCTTATTACACACGTAGAGACAAACATATGCTTATTTTAAGTCATATATTTTTAATTTTATAATATATATATATGTATATATTCGTGCCAATAATTTAAAGCCTATATATTATATGGACGAAAAGAAAGACACAGATCCTTGCTCATGATATGAAACTGTTCATCGTTGTTTGCTCAAATATTATAGCTGCATGTCTTAAACATGTACGTACGTTGACATCAGTGTGTGCAGTGTTCATTTTTTTCCAAGTCGTAATTAGAAAGCGTGAATCTTCCCAGCGGCAACGGAGAGATACAGAAAAAAAAATCGAAGATGCATCAGACGAAAATGGCAATGCAGAAATTCAATAATGAAAATATTTCTTGTATCTGTCAATAGAAGAGATGTGAAAAAGAGGAAGTTTCTGGCATTGACAAGAATAGAAATGTTTGAAAACTTAGTGATTAAAGAATTGCTAAAGAACAAACCGTAAATCAGTAGGAAACCAAAATGGAAACCACAAGAAAACGGCACCAAGAAATCCCAGTGATAAACGGGGTTGTTGAATCACAGTGATAAAGAAAGTTGAAATCCAAGGATAAAATGAAATTATAAACGGGCGGTGATAAATCTCGGTCTTAAATCTCGGTGATAAACGGGCCGTTGAAACATCAGTGATAAACGGGCCCATTTTTTCGGTGATAAACGGGCCCATGAAATCACGGTGATAAATCTCACGGTGATAAACGGCCCATAAAATCACGGTGATAAAGAAAAAAATCACGGTGATAAACATCAGACGAAATCACGGTGCTAAACGATCCCATGAAATCTCAATGATAAACGGTAAATGAAATTTCAGGGATAAATCTGCCAATGAAATCTCTCGGTGATAATCAGGTCCATGAAAACGGTGATAAACGAGCCTTTCTTGCATTATTAGAAATATTCAAGAAATATGATTTAAACTCGGTTTATTAAAAGGTTGTTAGTGATTAGACGAAGAATAATTGAGTTGAAAATAATTCAAACCGTAGACGATCTAAGGGAAGAAGGAAACCAAAAAGAAAGAGAAAAAAACGGAAAGAGAGGTGGATGAAATCCCGGTCATAAGCGGAAACAGGTGTCAGAAAGATATCTTGGCCAACACAGTGAATTTTAATAGGAATTGTTATTTGAAATGAAAAGTCATTTTAGAGAGAAAAGGACCAGGCTTGATGAAGCGTATTGGTGTTTGATAAGAATGTCGGTCAAAGCATCTGAGAAAGACTCATTATCAATTTGGAGAAAGGGAAATTTTTTAGAACAATAGAAACGAAATTTTTTTAATCGGAGAAAAAGTGTCTTTTGGGTTGAGGGTGATGGTGAAACTGTATACAGATTCTGACCTGTTAAGAATTGAAAACCCACGATAATAAAGTGGAGACATTTTCAATGTAGATAATTAAGATTTTTGAATCAGGTCTGACCCAAAAAAAAACAAAAAGAGGTAAAGGCGGATGTCTCGGCCCAGATAGCGCCAATATTCTTTCCTGAAGTCACATCTAATTAACGGCAGGCTGTTTTGACAGAACCCAGGTGAAAAAAGATTATCATTTTTCCGTGCGAAAAGGCAAAACAGATTTTGTTTTTTAGAACAAGAACGATGAAACCACGCCCGAAAAGAGGAGAAAGAATGGATCAAGAACCATTGGGAAAACGGTCACGTGATCTGCGGAAAAGAGGAGAAAGAATGCTCGATCAAGAACCATTGGTCGAAAACGGTTCAATGTGGAGAGAGATGGTGTGCCTCCCCACCAAAGGCACGGTGATAAAGGGGTGAGCGATAATGGGATCACGAAATAATGCGGCTATTGGAAGCCAGAACCCCTGAACGGTGAACCCCGTTTGTTGCGGCGTCAATAAAAGCAGACCCCAGTCGACAGAAATGAGTTGCAGCTGGACCGCGGGCAGGGATAAAGCCTGAACGCGGGCATCAGGCGATTCAACTCCCTTTGCGGGCAATAAATCCTCAGACAAAAATCCTTCGAAAGTCGAAGACAAGAGAACTTCCAGCCCATGAAAGACGAAGAAGGAGATTGCTAAAAGGACCCATGAAATCACGGTGATAAACGAGTTCAGCCCGGACGAAAGCGAGAAGAGATCAAACGGACGACAGAAGTTGCGGCTGAGTTGCGGTGAAAAACGTCGCCCAAGAAATCCACCCAAGTCGAAAACGGCCATGAAAATCCTGAAATCCCAAGTCGAAAACAAGAACGACCCTTCAGCCCAAGTCGAAGATAAGAGAAGTTCCATCTAAGTCGACGAAGAAGAAGATTACTCGAAAGCCGCAGAAATCACAGTCAAAACAGGCCGAAGAGTTGCAGGCCATGGAATAAGTAAAGTTGCAGATAAACAAGCAAATCAGTTCCACCTCAGTCGACAGAAAAGAGTTGCTGGACGGAATGGAAGAAGTTGAAATCAACGGAGCCGAGATCAGAAACCAAACCAGATCGGTGAAGAAAACAACTCAAGTGAAAATCAACTGGATGATTGACAGAAATTAGCCCCAGTGTCGAACTAAACTCCGACATACATAAAAAGGGTAGACAATTCGAGATCTTTGAGTTGATGAAAAGCTTGGTGCCATAAATTACAATGATGGGTCGGGAAATAAGAACAATTTTTCTTTATGTAGCGGACATCAGATATAAAAGGTTGTCCTTTTTTTATAAATTTTTGTCTCGTGAGTTTTTTTTTTCTTTTACTTGTGTTTTAAACCCCCCGTCGGACTCAATCATCGGTGTTAATCCCGCTGGACCCATGTCTAAGATCTAAACACAACGTGGGTAGATAGACCGGAGATCATGAAATCACAGTGATAACCAGGTATTGGAAGCGGGTTGGGAAAGGCAGGCGGTGATCATCTAACGGGCCCTTGGAACCAGGACGGCGACCAGGAACGACGCCCATGAAATCACGGTGAAAATTCGACCCTGGGCCAGGTGTAGACCCGTCATAAAGCCCATGAAATCACGGTGCTAAACGATCCCATGAAATCTCGGTGATAAACGGGCCCATGAAATCACGGTGATAAACGAGCCCATGAAATCTCAGTGATAAACGGGCCCATGAAATCACGGTGATAAACGAGCCCATGAAATCGCGGTGATAAACGGGCCATGAAATAACGGTGAAAAGGGGCCCCAATGAAATCACAGTGATAAACGAGCCCATGAAATTACAATGATAAAACGGGGCCATGAAATCACAGTGATAAAACGCGACCATGAAATCAGTGATTTTTCAATAGTAACAAAACATGAATGCTTTTAATTCATTCCAAGTTATTTATGTCATAAGCGCTTTGACCAAAGCTGTTTGACAATCCTTTACACTAATTTCTATGAAGCAGAGCAGATATCAATCTAGGTGCTGGGTTAGTGAGATTTGTTACGATAGATTTCCCTTTAAAAACCATGCGGTAAAAAGCTTCTTTATTTTAGTATTTCGTTTCCGTGAAGGGGAGCTGTTATTATTATTCTATTATGTCGGACTATTCTCGTCTTGGGTGATATTAGATGTTATTAGAGACACAACGTTTCGACTAAGTACCATCTGCTCATTATCAGGTGTCCATCCATTGGCTGTTACAGGATATCTGTTGATTGTGGTTTTTTGTTCTTGTGATGTCAGTTATTGTTCGTCCCTTTTGAATTGTGCTTTCACTGACAGAATCAAAGATTAAACTCATAGCCACTAGACGACTATAACACATGTATAACCAAACCCTATATGTATAACGCCATCGTCGCGACAAATTATCACAGACAACAGCTATTCCATATTAGCCAATCAAATATGTCTATAATAACATTAAAAAAAGGTTTGTTATGCTCTTGTGTGCCGCGTAAATTCATCAGACGGGACGCTTGATGCTTGATAGCCCCAGTTTACCCACTTCTGCTTTCACCCATAATTCGATCGCTTTACCGCAAACGATTCTGGGGTTTATTTGTCAGCTCACAAAGACAAATGCAACCCATGGTCCTTATTCTGCGCAGTACCACATACGATACAGTATAATTCAGAAATTACACAGTCCCTTCGGCTATTGACGCTGATATCAGGACATCCCAAAACATATTACTTTTGTGATTTCTTTTTTACTCTGCAGGAATCGAAGTTCGACTGCCGACATTAAATGATGAAACTTGTTGCCATATACGTCCTGCTAATTCTTCATAAATAATTGACTATTCCGTTTTGATCACGCTGAAAAACAAGAAATATCAGGAACGCTACTTGGTTTCAGTGAAAAAAAAAGAAAGATAGTGTTTAACGTCTCTTGGTACTTCCCCCAAAACAATGGCCTATTCCGTTTGATCACGTCGGAAGACAAAAGACACCACAGACGCTACTTGGTTTCAGTGAGAAAATGAAAGAAGGTAAGATAGAAGTGTTTAATGCTTGTTTCAGTTAAATGGAAAAAAGTTGTCAATTTCAAATTTTTTCTTCTTCTTAAAATAATTCATATTTTAATTCATATAGATATTGTTATTGCAATATTAAACTTGTTAAGCTCAAATATTTAACGATGAGATGGGGGAATTTCTAAGGATATTTTATTTTCATGATCTTATTCAATCATTAACTTAATAAATTAAGATTCATCAGAAATTTCAAATAGGAAAACCGTGAAATGTGAACGGGTTAAAACTAGTCTTATTAATAACTAGCAGTACAGCCCGGCATTGCCCGGGGATGTAACAGTAAGAGATAAATCAAGTATCGACCATCATAAAGACTAAAAAATAAAATTGACAAAGATTATTCTTTAAGGTTGACGGACACGCATGTCTTAATTAGTGGTTTTTTTTTTTACGAATTGGTCAAACCCAAACTCAAACAAAAACATTGTTTCCAATCGTTATGAGTCTAGCGATTGAATAGAATTTTATTATAAACAATTGTCTTGTAAATGGAATTTTTAAAGCATTCTGAATGTAAAAATAAAGAAAAAAAGTGTGCAAGACAATAAGAAACACTACCTGCCAAAAAAAGTGAAGGTTTGTTGAAATCGGTTGAAAAATGTAGGAAATCCGATCCCATATATAAACGAACACACACACACACACACACACACACGCGCACAACCTGGGTTTTATAATAACACACCCACACACACACTCTTAACACAAATTGATTTCGTGCAAAAACAATTGTGTTTCCAATTTTGGCGCTGTCAGAACCACCGCAAGGTAATTCTACTGTGAATCTGGGTTTAAAATCCGATCCAATATATAAACGTACACACACACACACACACACACAACCTGGGTTTTATAATAAGCATGATGTAAGATTGGCACCGTTTTATTATTTACTAATCTATGTTTAGTAGTACAACGCTGTTTGCAATATCTGAGCTTCCAGAACAGTCATTCATTTAAGTACTGACCAGATCCGAAGTTGCTTAACGATCAGACGAGAATCAATGATTTCAACATGACTTGACCGTTAAGTAACGCCATTTTCTTTCTCTAATACATTGTTTAGCATATTAAAACTACTAGTACCCGTCTTCAACAGACAAAAAGACAACGATAAACGTTTAGCATCTTAGTCGCTACCAAATAGTTTGCAATCGAATCGATAGGCTAAATATGGTCAGAAATGGTAAGAAATCTTTTAAATGCGAATACAAATGGTCAAGATGCCACAGAGGGTATGGGAAATGGTCAGTGATCGTCTTTGAATTCCAGACATGCTGGGAAGATATATTCGGCAACTGATCCTAAGATAGCTCGCTTTAACATATGATTGATCTGCCGGCGTCTTTATATTCAGATGTCCGAGCCAAAGCAACGAATCAAAATTTCCATTTTTTTTTCTGTGATAGATAAATCTTTTATATACCAAACAGATTTATATGATTTTTTTTTGTTGAGTAATTGTAGCTGAGGGCGACGAGAAAGTACTTTTTTCGCTCTGCCTGATTCCGAAAGGTTAGGGTGGATGCCATTTTTTTTGTGTATTGATCAAATTAACCTTTCTTCAGCGTCTCGTTGGTAACTATCTCTCCGATAAAGATTTGAAATCGTGAATGACCAACACAGGCAAAAAGAAGATAGAGTACGTTTTGAGAAAACGTCAGAAATGTTCGCTTCTTTAATGTTTATATTTTTTAAGTTTTATTTTATTTTCTCAAATTTAAATTCAAATTCAAATCTTCCTTATAAAACGAACAAAAAATATATATTTGATAGTAAAACGTTAGCGTTATCTATTACCGATACTTTTTGATTATTTAATAAGATTAGGTTCATTTAGTACATAGCCACACACTTTGCGGCACCCAATGAAGAGTGAAGACCGAGGTCATTTGGGATTACCTTATCTTGGCTGCCGGGGAATTTCTCTCTATGTCCACCAGGTGGTGTTGTATATAGCTTTATATAAGGACAGGTCTCAATCTCTCTTTTTGCTCTCTGAGCCATATGACGCAATAGCGACATGATCCATCTCGTGTCCTCGTTTGGAAAAGCTTCTAAGCTTTCAGGCAAAGTGACTTCTTTCCTCGGACGAACACACCTTTTACTCAACCATACTACACACACACACACACACACACACACACACACACACACACTATTATATAATACAATTTCTCTCTTTTTCGAATTATGCTAAAAAATTTATAAAATTTCTGTACATACATATACGTAAAATCTACGTGTTGAATTAAATGGAACTATTTAAGTAGAGTGGTCCCCTCGTAAAAAATGGATTTTTTTCCGGGGAATAGTTTTTGTAGATTATCCCTCATTAAATCTTCCACAAGCCGCAAAATTTGTCGGAATAGAAAAATATTGATTAATTTAAAAAGATTTAGATATAGGGTTTCTTCACAATATCGATATACTGTAAAATCGACCCCTGATTTTTTACAGAGTTATTTAACCTAACTTAAAACTGTCGCGTTTTAAATCGTTTTAAACCAGATATCTGAATTTTTTTAAAAAAATTTTAACCTTATTTTTTTTTTAACTCTTTTTAAAAGTTTTTTTTTTTTTTTTGGTATGGCGTGATTTTTTTCGAAAGCACACACACGGACCTTGTACCGTATTTCTCTTAAATGAAGAATAAATGGATATATGCTGTTATTAATTTTTGTAAATTTTGTTCTTTCATTTAAAATGTATAAATGTATTTGGTTTTTATTTATAAGAAATCTTTTTGCAAAAATGTCTGTTTTCATACGCAGAAAGGTCCTGATAAGTCTGTAAAAAAGCAGGGATCGATTTTACACAGTAATGGTAATTAATAGTTTTCGATTCCAATTGTAATGACAATATTAGCCGATTCCCCACACGGAAATATTTAGCGTTCACTGACCGAGCAGCCAGTACTGCTTCCGGTTGAAATTTCTAAAATCTTTCTCTTAAAACAATTTTGTAAGAAAACAGGTTTCTCAAGTCCAGTAGCTGTTATACCTCATTACAGTATTGATGGATGAGGTGGGCTAATGAACGCTAATCTGAAGAAAAAAATCATTTGACGAGTGGACTAATCTAATTAAGTAGTGCCAATTCGCTAATTTTGAAAATTCTGTACTGTTCAATCAAATGTCATTACAGTAAGTAACACCAGTTCCTTACACTCACTCAAGAAGCAACCTCAATGATAATTACCTAATAACGTTATTTCATGAAGTAGCCCTGAGTATGACGATAAACTACATTCGGCCGGGAGATTGGTGGTTTTGAGGTGTCTGGAATCACCTCTTAATTGCTGTTGTTCCCAAGAACACCCTGACCCGGTGTGTTGGCACAAGCAAAACAAAACGAAATTATAAAAATTCATTTTTATAGTAAAAACGCCAGCAATATATTTTTATATTAAACAAATTACCAACAATACCTATTTATAGTTGACGGCATAAAATTGTGTTCAAAATATTTAGATTTCGGCATTAAATAACCCATAGAGGTTGATATGCCGCTAAACAAATTTAACCAACCAAACAACGAACATGAACGATGTCTTTCATTATATGAATCCATATAATATCCTACAATTTCTTAAATCAAACTATTCCAAAATACAACTTCAAGAAAACTACAACCTAAAACACACATATCACCATCTCTAGTAATTATGTCCACACAAATTTGTATATACAAAAAAGTTGAGTTTCATCTACCATGTATTCAATTGTGAAAACAGAATAGCATTATATTTTTATTATTTCAAAGCTTCCAAGAAAATTAACTCTCGGTATTAAATGACTCATTAGGAGTTTTTATGCTTTTAAACAAATAAGTCAATTAATCATTATTTCACGTTCAAGTTCAGCTTAGTATGACAAAAATCTACAAAAATGAATTATGTGAGATTAGCTTGAAAACTGCTGCGCTTCGGCAAGATGATCGAGGCCTTGTAACTTTGATAATAATGTCTAATAACCAATGTGTGCGTGAAAGCGCAGTTGCACGACTTCATTCGAAACGTGGATCTTACATTCGCGTCTGTGATGTATGAGAGATTGTCGAACTCCTTTTCTGGGTTGATTGTTTACCTAACTGCATGTATTACGATTTCTTCCCACGTTAGCTATTTTCAATATCCCGACTGACCATTCTCCGCGCATCGTGCAGCGTAACTTGGGAAAATATCGCATCATTCAAATTTGTCAAAACCCACCTCATGATCTTAATTTCATTTCCAACAACTTCTGGCTAAGAAGAACGCTGTTGAAAGGAAATGAGATTTATGACTATAAGATTAAAGAGAACATGACAAAACAATTAGTTGCCGACGGCTTAAAAAAAGGGGGGGATGATTCTGATAAAGGTGTGTGCGGTGCCCAAGAGGGCATATATTTTAAAAATCAGAAGGTCAGTTGAATCCGCTACCTTGGTTTCAATCTTACAATATCCTCAGACGATTTTTATTAAATAACCTCTTAACGTTTTATTTCAAAAAATTATGAACCCTATATTATTATTATTTTCAAAAAAAAATGAACAAACGCACGACGTTGGGTGTAATTGAAAAATAATAATAATAATAATAATAATAATAATAATAATAATAATAATAATGTACATTACTTTTTTTATCCCTTCTCATGTGCTTAAGAGGAATTTTCTAATATGTTCGGATTTCTGGTTTAAAAGAGTTCTTGATACGGAAATGTCA